CCCCAAAACCCCAAAACCCCAAAACCCCAAAACCCCAAAACCCCAAAACCCCGAAAATATAAAATAAAATTGATATTTTACAGGTAAATTCCATGATATGGCAGATTTTCTCTAAATTTATCAAAATGTTCATGCACAATATTTAAAGTATCAAAAATGCAAGATTTTATACTGCTCTTTGGCTGATCATTGCGTATAGGATGTACTTTGAGAACAAGACAAAGTTGATATTTGGGCCGGTGGATGAAGAACCAGAGTTGTTCATTAGCAAGCTCCAAGCCATTTCAAACCTCACGATTGGGTGTTTCGAGTCCAATGCCTTCAGTGAGGATGATGGCCCTCCTGAATGGCGTCTTTCTGACTTATTCAATGCCAATAAGTTGCCTAAGAGTAAGTCTAAAGCACCTGGGAAAGTGACCCATTCAAAGAATAAGAAGAAAAAGAGTGAAATCATTAAGCAGAATGAATTCAGGTATGGCATCGATGTTGAAGAGGAAAACAATGACCTCTACTCAGACATGTACCTCGAACCAGAAGAAGACTTCAACCTTTTGGATGATAAGATTACTATGGAAGAGAAAGAAAAATTCTACTTTGGCTCTAAGGCCAAAGCCAAGTTCTGGGAGCTATACAAAAGCGGCAGGGTGTTTAAGGATAATATGGGCAGTGATGTCCAAGACCCCAGATTCGCCTATTTGAAAGACTGTTATACTAACGGTATGCTGCCAAAGGTGGGACTTGCGATTCGAGGAGAGAAGACAACCCATCTTTCTTTTGCTAATCAAAGCTTATTGCAGAAGAATACAAAAGCAGTTTGAGAATCGTTAAAAAGGTACCCTTTGGAGATTCATGCATTGGACTTCACTGGAAATGGGATTAAAGGCAAGGAATGAAGCATGATTTGAGAATCAATTGACTCTCATCTCACAACCCTTCTACATCTCAATTTTTCGAATAACAAGATTGGAGCTGAAGGAGCTGAAGCCTTATGTGAGAAAATGAGGAATATGAAGAATCTTGAATCTCTCAATCTCAAAGGTAATTTATTAGGCGATGATATTTGAGGAGAAGTTATGAAGGCCATAAATGGCCTACTCAATGTAAAATCTCTCAGTTTTGCTGATAATGCCCTTGGGAACAAAATTACTGAGTCAGAATTCATTGAGCAACTTTGATTATTTCTAAAAACAACCAATACTCTCACTTCTCTTGATTTAAGCTGGAATAATTTCAGAGGTGCTGGAGCAAATACACTTTTGGAATCGTTTAAGGAGAACTACTCCTTAAAAATTTTGAATCTCTCGTACAACCTCTTCGGAGTAGCGGGAGGAGATAGTGCTCCATCAATAGTAAAGTTTGTAGAAGTAATACAAGAGAATCACGTTCTTGAAGAGGTAGATCTCTCGAACAACTTGCTAGACTCAAATGCAGCCTTCTATCTCTCGCAAGGACTCAAGACTAATACTACATTAAAGTCTTTTCAGATAAGTGGCAATCCACTAGGCAGTACTGGAGTAAAGTATCTATTCCAATCTCTCAATGAGAATAAGGAAGGAAAGATAAAGAACCTTGAACTGAAAAACACTGATACTATTATTCAGGATAAACGAACAGTATTTGACCCAACAAATTTTGAAAAAGACTACCGGCTTGACTTGAGCCAGATCAAAGATAGAGCAATTTTATACCATTTATTGGACATTGATGAAAAAATGATGTCAAACTCTTCAGAAGAGGTACCAAGACAACAAGGTGAATGATTCCAACATGCTAGACTTGGAAGTTCATCGTGGACTCCGCCTAAGGAAAAAGATAATGATGGTAAATGGAATCTCGGAGAGGACCCAAAGGATATACTAACGTTTAAATTTACTCTCAATCCCTCTCAAAAGACTAATGAAGAGAGTGAGGAAGCTCCTGGAGGTACCTCAGTTGATCCTGCTAGTCTTCAGAAACCTTTAATTCCAGATGAAGTTTTGGAAAAATAACATTGATTTCATCATGAGGCTAAAAGAAGAAGATAATACTTCATGAACAAAAGAATTAATTGATACAATAAGTCAAGAATACACCCTGACTTATCTCCAAGCTAGGGAGTTCATGAACTGTTTAGATGATGATTATAAGATCTATGCTTGTTCTGTCCTCTATAACAGGATCATAAATCGCCATTTCAAGCAAGATATCTTACAATGACTTCAGAATAACGATACCAAAATCTCAGTCATGAGACATCTTGGGCAAGCGTTTAATTTCAGATACTACAATCCTACAGGACATTATAAGCTAAAACTCAGCAATAGAGCTGAAAGAGAGGTCGCCTTGACTCTGCTAATGCTGAATAAATAAGTACTCTCAACTAGTCAACCAGGGTATTATTTCTGATAAGTCAAAAATGGGAAATAAGTCCTGTTTTAGAAACGAGAAACTAATCTACAATAACTCTTCTACCTTTGAAGGCATTATTAGCACTGGAGACGCAGACTCCAGTGCTGGAGATAGCACCAAGAAAGGTCTCCCATTTATTTATAGCGAAGACTTCGTCCTCCCTAAATATGGGACACTTGAATGCGACTTTATCTACCTTGTGAATCCTCCTCTCAAGGAAGAAGAGACATCTGAAGAGAAGCAGGACTTGATTAAAAACCTATTACTCGGAATTGAAGGAGAAACAGAGAAGCAGATAGCTGCTTTTGTTGCCTTTTCCGAGTACCTAGTCCTCTCCTCAGAACAGCTCTGCAGCTTCATTGACCTGATAGATGACCCAAAATGGAAAGCTGAATGCTATATAGCAGGTATTGGAAGAATCTACGATACTAGAGAATATGATTTTATTAAATAAGAAGTGGAAGTACCCCGAGACCAGTAAGGATATCTACAACAGGTTTGGTATTCTCAACCTGTTTAACCCCTTCAAATGAACTGGTAGTTACAGACTTGATCTCGAAATTTACGAAGAGAAAATAGTATGAAATATTTTGTTAGAGATGGCCAAAGCAGAAGGGTTCCAGTATATGACAAATGTCTCCCTGGATGGAACCCCTTATGAAGAAATCGACAAGAAATTTGTGGATAACCTCCCTAAGACTGGTATCTTTGAAGGATCATACGTTGCTCCTGACGACGCAGCAGATATTGAATTCAGGGAGAAAATAGGAAGAAAGTATCTAGGATGGAGTCCTGAAGATGTATAAAATTCAATTTAGACCATTATTTTAGGGGTTTTGGGGTTTTGGGGTTTTGGGGTTTTGGGGTTTTGGGG